GGCCTGAAGCCCAACCAGAGATACGGCTCAACGACTCCGGAGTGTTCTTGCTGTATAAACTCAGAAATAAAAAATAAAAATACTGACGTAGGGCTCACAGCGATGCAGACTGGGCAGGACCCGCTGCTGAGGGCCGCGGCTGGGGAGGTAACGGTGATGGGAGGGTGCGAGCCTGCGGCCCGGCCCTGGCAGATCCCTTCCTCTTCCATTGAATCGTGCTCTGAAGGGAGACCTGAAAGGTAAAAGCCCGACGCTCCCTGGTTACCTGCAGACCCAGCCGGGTAAGAGCAGGCAGCGTGCGGGGGCACCCCCCTGTCCCTGTGTCCCTGGAGCAAAACCCAGACCGGCAAAACCCCGGTGTTGGTGTGGGAGCGGCGCCGGGGGCACGAGAAGGGCTGGGCAGGCGCTCCGGCGAGGGGAACCCAGGAGCCTGGGACCAAACCAAGGCTGACGGCCTGGGAGACAGCAGCTGGGTTTTAACAGAACGGGGGGAAGACACATTTGTGGCTTTAGGTCATTCTGTTGCCGATGCGCTTAACGTTACTAATTGTTGGGTGCGTGGAGGCCCAGGAGTGTTTGATAATGGGTGCGACGAGCCCGTGCAGCTCCGTGTCTCACGGCCTGATGCTGCTGCTCGGGCGCGTTCCTCTGCGAGGGTAAACGCAGCCGCTCTGTCCCACCTGCCTGTGCGATCCGGCCGCCTGAGCTGTCCCTTTTGTCCCCAGAAGAAGACGATGGGGTGCTGGAAGGACTGGATGAGTTTTTCGCAGAAGAACAAGTGGCTGTGCCGAAAAAAAAGAAATCCAAGAAGCTGAAAGATGGCAAGGCTGCCAAAATCAAGAGGAGGAAGAAGGAGGTAATGCTGCGTGTGCTCTCACGCCGGGCTGGGGGGCTCCTCCGAGAGGGGTGGCTGTGGGTGGAAAGGGGGGGCGTTGTCGGGGTGCAGGTGCTCTCCTGGCCTTGGGAGGTGACCCAGTGCCAGGGTGAGAGCAGTTCTCGTGCAGCTCACAGGCTCTGGGGTGGAAATCTGCCCTCGAGGAGTCTCCGGAGAGCATCGGGGAGGAGGAGTGTCCGCCGTGCCTCGGCTGTGCCGTGTCTGCCCGCGTGTGTGAGGGTCCCCCTGCCCCGTGGTTGAGCAGGGTGCGGGCAGCACCTCCCTGCCGCGGTCTCTGGGGGCAGGCAGTACATCCAGCACGCCCTGTACCATCGCGGCATCTGGGGCTCGTGTTTCCGAGGGGGGGGTGCAAACCGGCCAGGGCAGGGCTTGGAGGTTTCTGCAGATGTCGGTGGCTGCCGCGCTCATCCTGGGCGTGTTGCAAGCGGGACAGCGTTGGGGCTTCTAGGATCTGGCACCCTGGAAGGGCAGCTGGGCCTTCTGTAGGAAAAGGAAGGCGAGGCGTTGTGTCCTCGAGGGTCCGGCCTTGCCGGGGCTGCGCTGGGGGCCCGAGCCTGGCCGGGGAGACCGGGCAGCACTGCCTGTGCGCTGCCGCCGCACCGGGCTCCGACGCGGCGCGGTCCTGGAGCTGGGCTCGCTGCGCCACGCAGGCTCTGCCGTCCCTGGGCGCCGCTGCCCGCGGGGCACGACCAGACCTCTTGTGTGCTGGCCCTTTCACTGGCGAGGTGTGAATAGGCTGCGGGGGAGAGAGGGCGAACAGCGGAGGGTCTTCAGCCCCCTTCCTTCCCCCGGGACGCCGTGGCTGCGGAGGAGTCGCTCAGCTGACGATCCCCAGCCCTTCCCTTGCCAAACCAGGGCCGAGTGGTGCTGATCCCCCCCAGCCACTCCCCGGGAATGTGTGAAAACAGATCGGCTGGACGAGGTGGCACGTTGAAAGTGCTGTTGCCGCTGATGGGAGCGTCATGAGCTGCTGATTTAAAGAAAGGTGATTCTGTCCTGCACCGCGCTGTCCGCCAGCCTTTCGCAGGAGTCGCGGCCTGAGGAAGCTGTTTTCCTTCGTGGCCATGGTGATGTGATGCTCTTTTTGCAGACATCACACAAAGCTGGCTCAGGCCCGCTGCCTTCCTGTGCCTTTCACATCGTTGAATGCGATTTTTTTTCCTGTGTTGTTTTTCTGAGGGGAAGAAATAAAAATAAAACCCCGTGGTATTTTCACCTCTGTTCTCTGTCAGTGCCAGCCTGCCTGAGCCCGGCCACAGGGTGTGGAGCTTGGGCCGAGTCTGACTGCTGCCTCGCTGGCGGTGGCGAGAAAATAACGGGCTGAACATTGAGTGTGCTTGTGTTTTTAATTAATGCCTTCTGTGGACAGCGTTAATCAACCTCGGGTCCGCCTGTGGGAGGCTGTTCCCTCTTCCATCGAAGCTGGTGCTGTTGGTGGGCACCGAGCGGCGCCCAGGCTGTGTTTTGGAATGAGGAGATGAAAGACGGGGGGGCCTTGAGCAGAGCTTCCTTTTCCTAAACTCCTCCTCTGGAGCTCTGGGGGGCGAGCAGACTTTCCCCGTGCTAGGGAAGGTGGGAGTGAGGTAGGAGCCTGGGGCGTGGGGCTGGTGCCTGCGCCGTGGCTGTAGCCCCCCACGGTTTTGTGGCTGGAGCAGGGGGCAGGAACCCGGCTGCTGCGCAACGCCTTGGGTTTGTGGTGACGCTGACGGAAGCCCCGGCGCTGCAACCCCCTGGAAAAATCTGCATAAAGTAACCAGGCTGCGGTTTGAACCTCAGCGTAGGGAGATGAAGGTCCTTGTCAGAGACAGGAGCAGGGAAGGGGGGGGCGGAATTTCAACCTGTACTGCAGCAGTTACCATGGCAACCAATTATTCCGTGCCGAATTACAACTGTTTATAACCCCGCTGAAGGAGAGGCTCGGTGGGTGCTGAACTGGGAAGGACCACAACTCTGTCATGGCCGCCGAGCCAGCGCACCCTCAGCAGCCCTCGGCGTGGGGGGTGACGATGATCTCCTGTTACCGGGTGGGCCCCGGGGGGGGTGGGCGCTGTCTGTGGGTTTGTCCTGGCTCCGGTGGGTGGGGGGATGCCTCGACACCCTCCATCCCCTCGCAGGCTCCCGAGGGAGCAGCCCAGCGCTCCTCAGGGTGCTCTCGTGGTCGCTGGCACAGTCTCTCTTCCAGCGAGGAACCTAAATTCTGCCTGTCCCGTCCCCGCTGTCGCTCTGGGCCTGGTCCCTTGCGGGGACGGAGTGCCTCTGTCAGCGTTGGCTCCCCTCGGTGCTGAAGCTGGGAGGACCAAGGCTCTGTGGAGGTGGGAGTCTCTGAAAGCGAGGTGTTGGGCCCGTCTTCCCTGACGTATGCGGCCCTCCTGCCCCTTTCCAGACGCTCTGTGCATCCGCCAGGACTGTTCTGTCCGTGTGGCATCTGAAATCCTCCTGCAGTCACCCAGCTCTGCAGTGCAGAGTGCTCGGCTGGGCGGAGAAAGAATCAGCCACCAAGCAAAACCCCGGTGCGATACCGGTCCGGTGAGGTGGGCACGCACGTGGCTGAAGAGTTCTGCTCTTCCTCTCTGCCCTTTCTTGGCTGTTCACGCTGTGGTGGGACAATGCGACTTCAGTGGTGTAGAGCCACGAGCCAACGCAGGATTGGACATTGTACGTTACCTGTGCTCCAGCGATTAAAAACGTCGCCTGTCTGAAAATGCAGGATCTTGAGCAGAGCGTCGGCCGCCTCCCAGAGGCGTTACTCGGAGGTTCACCACGCAGCCAGTTTCAACGCGCACACCTACTTGCTTGGTTTGGGGTCTCCTGGTTTTCTGTGCCGCTGTTCCCCGGATGCTCCGGAGGCAGCGCGGGCTGGGCCTCTCGCCCCCCTGGGTGAACAAGTCCTGAGGCAAAAGCGTGAAGGTTCCAGTCCCTGTACCTTGGCCTGGATGAGCTTTTCCAAAGCACGGTTTTGTCCGTGTTGTGCGATCTCCTCTGGTGCTCCCGTGGGGGTGGGTCACCACAGCGCTCCTGGAGCCCACGGAGGGAACGGCCCCGCTTACGGGTGGGGACCTAGGGCAGAGCGTCGGCTGGGGATCACAGAACTGCCCTGAAGAGCCACTTCAGCCAAACCAAGGATTTCTTTCTGCCTGGTCCCCCGTGCCAGGTGCCTCTTGCTGTTCCCAGATCCGATTTCGTGGTGTTTTCCCCCGGCCCCCCGTGGAGCGGCAGTGTTAGTGGAGGGAGGGCTGACTTGGGCTGCTGGCGGCAGTTGCTTTGTGCTGGCTGGAGGGTTTGTGGGGAGAGCGGAGGGGGGGCAGGCCCTGCTCTTTCTCCACTGTCACTTTCCGTTTCAGGGGAGCAATGATGAAATGTCAGACAACGAAGAGGAGATTGAGGAGAAATCTGAGAGTGAAGGGAGTGACTATTCCCCCAACAAAAAGAAGAAGAAAAAACTGAAGGACAAGAAGGAGAAAAAGACAAAACGGAAGAAGAAGGATGAAGAGGAGGATGACAACGAGGATGGAGGTTTAAAGGTATCAAAGATTCCTTTACCCTGAGCTGGTGCTAGAGCCTGAGATTTCAGGGTGAGGCCAGGTCCCTGCTCCCAGGTCCTCGCAGGCTGCGGTCGTTTACGTTAATGATGTCTCTCTACGTCTGCAGGAGCCGAAGAGCTCAGCCCAGCTGATGGAAGAGTGGGGCCTCGATGATGTAGATTACGTCTTCTCAGAAGAAGATTATCATACCCTGACTAATTACAAAGCATTCAGCCAGTTCCTCAGGTAGGAAACTCCAGGTCTGGACGGAGCCTTGTGTGGTGGTTGAGGTTTGGGTGTTGCTCAGTGAAATGGTTGAAATTGGGGAGTAAATTCTCCATCACGAGCTCCTTGTTGCTTCTGCCCGCCTGACTCGGTCCTCAGGACTCCATTTTAATTGCAGGATTGGTGGGAAAGCAGCTGAAGTGCTTGTCTCTCCTCACCCTCTCTCCAAAACCCCATTTTTGGTGTGTGCTCATTTGAGGTTTCATGAGAAAAATTGTGTAACGCTCAGGAATTTTTGCCTGTGCTGAGAGCCGTCTGACACAGCAGGTCTGTCAGGGAAAGGCACTCTCTGAGGAGTTCAGGAGTGTCCCCTTCTGTGAGTTGACCTCTTCAGGCAGCTCTGCTCTCCGCTGCCTTTCGATGGAGCTGCTGCCCGTGTGCCCCGCGACCTGCTGCTGGGGGTGTTGTTGGGCCAAACTATCAGCACACGGTGAGCAGGAGCGGACACGGAGCGTTTCCCTTAACCCGCGGTTCTCCCCTGCCCTGCAGGCCTCTGATCGCCAAGAAGAACCCCAAGATCCCCATGTCCAAGATGATGACCGTGCTCGGTGCCAAGTGGCGAGAGTTCAGTGCCAACAACCCCTTCAAGGGCAGTTCGGCGGCGGCGGCGGCAGCAGCCGTGGCTGCGGCGGTGGAGACCGTCACCGTCACCCCGCCGCTCGCCGCCAGCCCCCAGCCGTCCGCCTTGCCCACCGTCATCAGGAAGGCAAAGACCAAGGAGGGCAAGGGTAGGTCTGCGGCGGTGGGCTGAGCGGAGGGGTCTCACCGGCGGCCGGCCGGGCCCGCAGAGCCCACCAGCCGCTTCTTCGGGCTGGCAAAGGTGGGGAAGCGGCTCCGGGCCGGAGACACGCTGCCATGGGCAGGGGAGGCGAAGGGGCTGCAGGTCCCACTGCCCTCGCAGAGGTCCTGAGGGTTGTGACCTGTGACAGATCCACCCTGGCATCCTTGGGACCTTCTGGACTTCTGGCGATTTGTGGCAGTTAATGCCCAGCTTCATTCTTCTGTCTAAATACGTGCTTGGGCCATGTATTTCTGTGCCGTCCCTCTCCCGGGGGGTTCTGCAGGGCTGTAGAGCCCTCCAGAAAGCAGCAGTGTCCTCCGAGCCCCGTGTCCAAGCCGAAGAGGATGTGTAGGGTAGCAGGACTAGGGCGGGGGCGTGTTGGCAGCGCAGGCCTGGTCTGGGCAGGTGAACGGGCACCGTCTGGCAGCGGAGCCGGCACTTTGGCTCTGACGTGGCGGGGAGTTCGGTGATGGAAGCTGGCAGTAAGGCTGCAGCGCTTTTCAGAATCAAGGTTTTATTCTCCTGGTAGTTGGGTGGAGGGTGACTGTCTTCAAAGCCCACTTGTGAGGAGTGAGCCAGTCGTAGAAATCTGCAGTAGCTCCTCTGGAAACAGTCTGATTTGTCCAGAAAAGCGTCTTCTGCTGTGAACACCTTCCTGTTTCTGACAGCAGATCGATGCTGCTTTCCCCGTGTGCGAACCGCTGTGGGAGCTGGGCAGTGTGGGAAGGGGAGGGATCTCCCCGTGCGCCACGTTCCTCCTCGGGAAGGTCGCTGCCCCGCTTGTGCCGTTGTCACCCCCCCGATGCCTCGAGGGGTGTTTGAACCAGCGGTTTGGAGCTGGCACCCCCGGCTCAGCGCGGCATTCCTGCCTCTCCGTGGCCACCTCTTTGCTCCCCTCCTTGCCCACCCCTGAGTCCCTGCTGGTATTCGCAGCCCTGTGGGCCATGGTCCCTCTCCTGGACCCCAGGGCAGACGCTTTCCTGCCCCGATTCTTCCCAAGTGCTGGGTCTGGGCTTGCAGTCGCTTGCTCTGTGGACGGCACTGCCCAGCTCCCCGGGGTCCCCGGCACACTCTCACCTTCCCTGTAAATCCTGGGGGTGGGGTGGGGGGCGCTGGGCGGACACCTGTTTGTCGAGTACCAAACCAGTCTTCTGTTTCTCCAGGTCCAGGCGTGCGGAAGAAAATCAAGGGCTCCAAAGACGGGAAGAAAAAGGGGAAGGGGAAAAAAATGGCAGGCTTGAAATTCCGGTTTGGAGGAATCCCCAGCAAAAGGAAAAAGGGCTCCTCTGTAAGTGTGGGGCCTCGGGTGCGGGGGGGTGCGGCAGGGAAGCGCCGGGAGCAGGCCTCCCCGAGCAGCCTCGGGTGTCACAGCCCCCGTCGTGCCCCTCTGCCAGGCGCCAGTCTCCCGTCGGCCCCTCCCCGCGATGGAGAGCTGTGTCCAGGCTCCGACTTGTGATTTCAGCGTCGGGGGGTGTAGTGCCACCATTTCAGATTCCATTTGCAACGGAATTCTCCAGGGCTTGCACTCCAGCTGAACCCTACGTCGAAGAGAATTATCGAATGCTTTAATGACGTTAGTGCAGCCCGCCTCCGGGCATCTGTGGTCCCGCAGCGTAGCCCAGGGCTACCAGAGCGCCGGGCAGCAGGGCTCTGCTGCAGGCTGTGTGCTGCGCCCTGTCAGCGCCGGAGTATCAGGCGCGCTTCAAAAACGAATCTCTTAAATCACTATTGAATAGGGGTGGGACTTTTGTAGGTCTTGATAACACTACTGACCCAAATCCTGTTAGTTCACCCCCCCGGAGCTCACCGACTGTAGCTCTGGTTTGTGTAACACGGGCTGTTGGTGAACACCCGTGTGCGCGTCAGAGGCTGAAGCGAAAGGAGCAGCGTGACACAGCTCAGTTGCATGTCGTGAAAAATTCATCCCGTCCCCGGGCGTGCTCTGCATCCGCGCGTCGCCTTTTTGAGGTTGCGAAGGGCCTGGGCTTGCTCCTGCAGCTGGAGCGTGACGCCCCTGGTTACCAGTGTGCGAGTCGGGGGTTTGCTCGCCTCGGTCTCCGGAATAAGAGTTCAGCTGCGTTATCACATTTTGACCCCACAGAATGCCGGGCCTGCTTAACTCCTTTCACGGTCCAGGGAAGCCCAAGCGTGAGGGCTGCCTGCAGGCCCGCGACGGGCTGACACAACCTGAAACAGGCGTCGAGGGAGGGAGGGGGAGCCAAGGTCTGCCACGCAGTGGGGAAGGGGGCCCCTGGCTGCGCAGGAGTGGGAGCAGGGGCTCGTCCCCCCATTCCTGTCTGGTTCGGGGGTCTGCCCCCGGGGTAACGCCATCGCTTGGGGCTGGCTGACACCCACGAGATGCTGCTGAGCCTCTCGCGAGGCACCCGGCCAGGCGCAGCACACGATAGCCCCCGGGAAGCCCCGAGCCCCCTCTTGTCAGGGAGCTGACACGTCGATTTACTTACTGTAAATGCGCTCTGAGGTTCGCTGGGTGGTTGCGCGCACCGACGGGGCTCTGGGCTGGACGGGCTGTCCCCGCGCTGGCCCGTGCCCGGTGATTGCCTTCAGGCTGTAGTGGTGGCCGGACCTGCGCTTACTGCTTGTCGGGCGGGGACAGGGACTGATAGAAGAGCTTCCCCCGTGTCCTAAAGCCTTGTGACACTCCTGCAACCCCGCCCGCCCTGCCACGTCCCTGCTGCTCTGCTGGTGTGGGAGGGAGGGTGCCCCCAGGAGCTCAGCCGCCAGCCGATGATCCCGCGTGGGTTTCTGCGGGTCTCCGGGGGCCTGTTCTGCGGCAGAGCGGCGTTCTCCGGGGGTGCCGGCGCTTGGACTGTGCCTGCTTTGGTTTTCCCCTCTGCAGAGCGAAGAGGAGGAACGGGAGGAATCCGACTTCGACAGTGCCAGCATCAACAGCTCCTCCGTGCGCTCCGAGTGCTCGGCAGGCCTGGGGAAGAGAGGGAAGAGGAGGAGAAAGAAAAAGAGGAGTAGGCCATCCTTTGTACTCTGTTCCTGTTCTGTTGGGATTTCCCTCATCAGATGGTGCTTCCCCGGCCTTTGCAGCTCCGGGCTGTGCCTGGCGCTGGCTCGCTGGGAGCGATGTGCTTGTGCTTGGCCGTGTGTGGGGGGGTGAGGTGCTTTCCTGGGGTCCGGGCCCTGCTGCGGGGGGGTTGTGCCTGCAGGCAGCGGCGAGCGGGTCCTGCCGCAGGGCACCGCCTCACCCCGCAGCGCCGGTGGAGCAGCCGGGCGATGGGGCTTGTCCGTCTGCCTGTCCGCTGTCAGCTTTCCCTCCGGGCCTCTCCCCAGCTGTCAGCCACTGCCCGAGGCTCACTGGCCCCCGAGCCAGCTCTGTGCTGCTGCTTGGCGTTGCTTCGGCAGAGCCGTGGTTGCGGTGCTCTGCCCCATCCCGCTGCCTGCTCGCAGCCCTGCCCGCCCCAGGACTCTGCCTGCGCTTTGGGCACTGGGTTGTGTCACAGGCCGTGTGGGCAGCTGGCACCCTGCCTGCACATGTCATCCTGCCAGGATTTGTCCTTTAGCAGGAAAGTTCCAGAATTTGCAGGGCTTCCAGGGAAGGGATCTTCTGAGGGGCAGCCCCTGGAGCAACGTGGCTTGTGGCGAGCTCCCAGCGGAGCGGGGCAGCTGCGGGCGAGATGGCGTTCGGGGGCTTTTTGTCTGCGTGAGATGTGGAGCCAGGCAGCGGGCAGGTGGCAGGTGTGTGGTAGGATGTAGGATGAGGGAGGCACAGAACAGCGGTGGAAAGCGTCTGTCGGGTCACCCAGTGGCTGCGTGGCCGTGTTTTGTGTGTGTTCCTTCCTCCCTGCCCTTGTGTGGGGCTGCGGGTGGATCCTGCGTGGTGGCACCTCTGTCCCCGTGCTGCCGCTGAGAGCAGCCCCCCTGCACCGAGGTGCCCCAGGCCCGGCTCCGAGCACCGATGGGGGCTGCTGGGGCGCGGTGCCGCCCTGCCCGGCCTCCCAGTGCCGTCCCTGCCTCCTGTGCCGCTCGCTGCAGGACACGCGATGCATTTCTACCTCGTGTTCTCGTTCGGGATGAGATGCTTCAGGTCCAGGCCCAGCCTTTGGCTTCTTGGTTTTGCCGACAGGTTTTTGCTTCTGAGAAATGGAAGGGCGGCTTCTGGGCTGGGGGACAGTTAGGGCGCGACGCTGGCCGGCCCCGCGTCGGGCCGAGGCAGGGCGGGCTGGCTGGCTCCACGTCTGGCGTGCGAAGGGCATCGCTTCTCCTCGCGGCCTGTTGCCGTACGAGGGCCCTCGCGCCGGGGCTGGGCAGCTCCTGCTGCGCGCTGGAGGAGTGGAAGGTCGGAGTTTGTGGCAGAGCTGGGAATTGAGACAAGCCGTTCCGGCGCCGGCAAGGCCTTGGGCCTCCCTTCCTCTTCCCGTCTGCGCCGAGTTGAGAGAGCTCCTGCCTCTGCGCCAGTGAGCACCCAGGAAGAGCAGAGTAGTCCCAGGAGAGGAGTCGTCCTCCTCGGCCGTGTCACCCTTGCATGGTGCGTTTGCAGTTGGTGGCGGTGGTACCTGGGGAGGTTTCTCTGACTGGCCTCCCTTGCAACCTCTCCAGGTTCTGGCATTCTCCATTGAGAGCCTGAAGGAACCAAAGGATGATACAGTGTGGAGAGAGAAAGAGAGACAGAGGTGAGATGATGCTGTGTGCAAAGATGAACTGTGGTGCTGAGGGACAGAGAGGTAGGGGGACGTAACAAGAGGGGTCCGAGGCGAAACGCTTTCCTTATTTCCTTAACTGTATCGTAGAGGAGCAAGTGTCCCGTTCCCTCCCGGGAGAGCAGGCGGCTCTGCCGCCCCTCTGACCATGCGCCTGTCCCTTGCTTGCAGTCGAGGAAGGGGACGGCTACGAGACGGACCACCAGGACTACTGCGAGGTGTGCCAGCAGGGAGGGGAGATCATCCTGTGCGACACTTGTCCTCGTGCCTACCACCTCGTCTGCCTGGACCCCGAGCTGGAGAAGGCCCCCGAGGGCAAGTGGAGCTGCCCCCACTGCGTGAGTGGGGTCGGGGCCCCGCGGGGCGGGTGCCGGGCAGCGGCAGAAGCCCTCGGCGTTACACTGCCCGTGCTTCCCCAGGAGAAGGAGGGCATCCAGTGGGAGCCGAAGGAGGAGGAGGAGGAGGAAGAGGAAGGTGGCGAGGAGGAGGAGGACGACCACATGGAGTTCTGCCGGGTCTGTAAGGATGGGGGGGAGCTGCTGTGCTGCGACACCTGCCCGTCCTCCTACCACCTCCACTGCCTGAACCCGCCGCTGCCGGAGATACCAAACGGTGAATGGCTCTGCCCTCGCTGTACAGTGAGTGTTACCAGCATTCCTCGCCCCGTCCCTGCCCCTCACACCCGCTCCCCGTGCCCCGCATGGGGCCGAATCCTGCCCGCCGCCACAGCCCGCTCCCTGGGGGGGCGCTGCCAGGCTCTGCTGCCTGCGCTGTCCCCCCGCGGGGATGCTCGCTGGCCTGT